AAAAAAAAAACACTAGGGACGTGTCGGCTAAACGATCTTCGTCCGAAACCCCAAAGTTCAAACTAGAGCAGACGCGACGGCCGAACCGCCCACGCGACACAACAATAAGCATATCAAAGCGACAAAAGAAGTAAAACAGTCCTACTCGGCGGATCCTTCAACTCCCTTTCCAGAATCTTTGGGCTCACCAACCCCTTCTCCGGAACCCTCCGACGCCTTCGCCGGGCCCTCCCCGACTTCTTCAGAATCATCGTCGTCGGCATCTCTCGAAGTGTCTCTGACTTGCTCGCTCAGCTTAGCATAGATCGCCGCGTCGAGGGCGTTGGGGTCAACTAGAATCTTCACTGTCCCCGGGTCGGCTGATTCAGTCACCGTAACAAGCTCGGTATCAACCCGGGGCGCATCAACATCCGTCTCGGCTGCAGCAGCGGTCATCCTGTCAGCATATTCAACTACCTCTTTCTTGATCTCGGCCGGAGTTAGGACCCTGAAATGCTCGACGGTGATGTCGGCAAGAGTGTCAATGAACTTGAGGCCGAGCTCTTCCCTCTTCTCTTTCTCCCCTTCAAGAACCATATCCATGAAGGCCTTTTGGAGCTCGGCACGCCTCTCGCGGCTCAGGGGGGGAGAGCTGAAGCTGTTATTTGTGGATCAGACCTGTTCAAGACACCTTCGACGTAGTCCCTCTCATCGTCGTCGGCCGGAACACGCATCTCGAAAATAGAAGCGTCAAAACCCAACCTGACTATCTTGTTGTGCAGAATGAGCGCAAGATCGCCGACGCCATAAAGGCCCGAGCCGACGCGGTCAATGGTTCAGGCACGTGTTGAATTCGAGGTCACGCTCCATCTCCTCGGAATTTTTGAACTCCTCCTTCCCGAGTTCCTTGCCAGCTTCGACACCTCGGTTACGCATGAGGGTCCCGTACTCAGTCTTCTCTTTCTCAAGCTGGGAAACCTCCAGCGCGTGCGACTCCTTAAGTCGGATTAACTCGGCTTCCTTCTCGGCTCGGTCCTGACGGGTCCTCTGATGATCTTCGCGTTCCCTTGCAAGTTTCTCGCTCGTCTCCTTGGCATTGTGTTCGGAGTCGATGACTTGGCTTGACAGCTTATACACCTCGGCCTCCAAACGTTTCTTGTCCTCCATCAGGGCCGCGATCTCAGCCTGCGCTGCGGCCAGCTGGTCGGACTTCTCGGCCACCGCCTCCTTCAGCTCGGTTTTCTCCGACTGCAAAGCCGAAATCTGACTGTCGCGGAAAATAACCTTCTCCTTCTTGTCCTCAAGAGCCGTGAAATTCAGACGAAATGCATCCTCCACCGAAGTTAAGCTCACCAAAGCCCTGCCGAGACAAGCCTTAGCATAGCTGAATTTTTGGACGTCCGACATCGACCTCAACATACCCTCGGAGGTCGGATCCCAAGCCATCAAGGGGACCCGAGCAGCTTCAATCATGTGCGGCGGTTGGTGAAACTTATTAGGAATCTCCAGACGTTCCACGGACTGGTAATCGGTGAACCATTCAGGGACTCCGGGAGGCAGGTTAAGGTTGAGGACCCTTTCATCATCAAGGGGCAAAAAGGTGGAACTCTTGTCTTGGTGCACGGGGGCGTTCCTCTCCTCGAGAGTTAAAACAGGGTCGTGTCTCATCTTGGACCGACGTTCCCCGGCGGTGTGCGGCTCGTCTTCGGGTTTCTTCTTGGACTTGCGCTTCTTACGGGCATCAGCCCTCTCCGCATCATTCTTTTCAGCTTCAGCGTCCTCGGCGCTAGACACGATGATATGAACGTCTTGAGGGGTCTCTGCGATCACCCCTTCTCCGAGGTCGGGGCGAGTCGGAGTCGTCACAACCAACTCGGTCCCCAGGACCTGCTCGGCAACAGGTTCAACAGCAGGAGGCTGGACCGACCTCGGCTCCTCCGTTGGAGGCTCCGACCTGATAACGGGGCCTGTGGTCGCAGCGCCTCGGTTAGTGGAGGCACCCTTCGCCTTCTGCAAAAACTTCAAGCGACCCATCTCGATGTCTTTGGCAAATTGAAGCTGGACTTCGGAACTGGAAAGTTTACGTCGGGAACTGTCGGCGTCCTCAACCGACTTGAAACCGTGAAAACCGAGGATTGGATAATAAACTGAGAAAATCCACGTTGGAGAAGTCAGACGCGCAGGAGAAAACACAGTAATTTGGAAACCGAAGTTAATGGAAAAACGAATTAACTCACCAGGAACAAGCGTCTTAAAAGGGCGGGGCGAAGAAAGTTCGGCTTTCGCTAACTCAGCTTCTTTCAACAACTTACGCCAACTGCGATCAGAATGGTGGACTCTCGCAAGGTCTTGCAGTCTCGCAGCAAATTCGGCGGAGAGCTTGGGTTCCTTCTTTCTCCGGGCTACAAATATCAAAAGTTCCGACCTGTTAGCGAAAAGAAAAAACCGAAGTTAGGAGGTGGAAAATGGACCAAGTGAGAGGAACTTACTGTAAACCTCAACAACTCGGTTCGGGATGGTCATCCCATCAATCTTAGGCTCCTTAAGGAAGTCAGCCGACTCCCAATCACCGCCAACACAGAACCACTCCTCCTGAAAGCCATGTAAGGTATCTGGGATGCCGGTAATCAACTGACCGACCTTCAAATCCCCTAGCGCCTTGGCAGAACAGAAAAAGCAACCAGAGGGTGGCACGCCGTCACGCTCCCGACTGTGTTTGAAGAAAACGACGCTCCGAAACTCATCAATCGACGGGAGCGGCACCTTGATTTGAGCGCAAAGGACCAAAAGCCCGATGATCTTCTTCCAACTGTTGGGCGTGATCTAGGAGATGCCGATCCCCCAATCCCGAAGATAGTCGGTGATGATGTTGGGAAGGGAGAATCTAAGCCCCGACTTGATGGTCTCGGCAAAAACACCCACACACCCGGGAGGAGGAGAATGGATCCTCTCGCCAGGGTACGGAGCGAACATCCTCACTGTGGGGGGAATCCGTGCCGACTTCCTCAGTAGCACCACGTCGGCATCTGTCATTGCGCTGGGCTCGCCCGGGAACGGGACGTTAAGGTTGGCCCAACGTCGTGGAGGACGATTCCAGAAGCCTTCACGAACAGGGAGGTCACTTTCCACCTCGGCGTCGCCCTCATGGTTGTTCCACCGTAAGACCAAGCGCTCGACCAATAGCGGATCCCAACGGTAATACCCCAGCGCCAACTCTAGGTTTTCCTCCTCGTCAGAGACGACCTTATGACCCACATCGTCAGAAATCGTCCGGCTACTACTTTCCGCCGCTTGTTCCGTCATTTTTCCGGTGGTCGGTAAACTCAAAGCAAAAATAAAAAGGGAAACGCGCTAACTAATCGAAGGATTGAGAGGAAAGAAAGTGAAAGGACTTACCAAAAGCACACAATAGGATCAGAGACGTCGGGAACAATAACCGTGAGAGTAGAGAGAAGGGTGAAATCGAAAGCGAGGGTCAGGCAGAGAGAAGGCTGTGTGATTCGAGGAGAGGGAAAAGGAGAAGTATTTATACTCAGACGATGTAACCGTTACAAAGATAACCGGCGATTCGCGAACCGGCACCTTAAAGGATAGAGACGCTCTGTCTTGTCCCAACGGAAACACGCGGACCAATACGGGACTGCCACGTGTGAAGACTGTCAGAGATCGTGGGAACGTGCAAAGAAAGGACGAAACCGCTTAAAGTCAGGGGAAAACGAGCGCGTCGAGTCGTGTCATCACGCGCCGTATTGGAAAGCTCATAAACCGCCAGATGGGAAAAGTCGCGTTTTTTTTTTGCTAAGTATAATAGGTCGGTTGAGATTCAGACAGAGGAGGTACAGAAAAACACCAGGAATGACATTAAGGCGGACTTAAGTATAAGTCCCCCTCAATGTCAGGGGCCTTAATGTTGACCTAAAAATTCACTCAGGCGTTGGATGGACGACACGTGGACGACGAGAAAATAAAGGGGCCAAGCCGAGGAGCGCAGAGGAAATATTACCCGACCTGTGGAAGCCGACCTAGTCTGGATACCGACCTCTTGAACGAAGCAACCTCGGACACAGGCCGACGTCGGAGCCGACAGGCAGCATTTAATGCACGTCCATCAAGATAGCTAAGGGCCACTTGAGGACATCATTGCAAAGGGGGCCCACTTGCTGAAAAGGTGCTGGGTCCTGTCACACTGCATTAAATGCCGCCGTATCCCCCTCAAAAGACGAGCCCACCGTTACTATAAATAGCAGTATTAAACACAATACGAGGATCTTTTTTCCCGACACATAAATTCCGCATTAATCACCTGGGCTCTCGCCTGCTTTAACATCATTGCACTATAAAAAACCGACTTGATATTGTCTTAAGAACTCTTCAGTTATTCAATAAAATCATCTCATTACCGCATTAATCTTAAAGTTCAAATATAAAAAGTTGATCAAATCCGTTTATCAACACTTTAGCTAAAAATAAAAATAATTATATTTAAAGTGGAAAGGTGTAATAAAATTTAAATGAGAATGTAAGGGGTGCAATTTCTTCTATAACTTATCCATTTCCAATTTATGGACATTTCTCATTTTGTTTTTAGTTTCGGCAGGCTGGCCTGTCTAACCTGCGGCCCGTGGCGGGGTTGGCCTTTAGAGGCCCGTCAGTGTGGCGGGTCGGCCTGTCCCGCTCCGCCAAATAGTGGGTTATGACGGACGAGTCGACCCGTTTCAACACGTCTACTGTTAACAAACAAGGCCAAATGTAAATGAAAATTGAAAACATTAAATACAAAATAGTCACATTTAATACAATACAGGTGGTGCGATAAACCTGATAGGAACTTGAAAGTCAAAAACTTCAAGAAGTATAGAACTGTGAAATACACCGAGAAGAACATGAGTGTGCGTGGTTTCGACACCTGTTGTGCATCTAGCGAGTACGCGTACATTAGCAACGTCGCATATTCTACACTATCCATCACAGTTCATTTTGGTTTCACGTATCAGCTTCAGCTCCATCTCTTTCATGTCCTTCCTCACGCCCCGCATTCTGATAAACAAGAACCCCATTATTAGACCCATAATTACAAGTTTCTCTTCGGTCCTGACGAAAACCCACGTCGATTCACCAGTCTTCGAGCCGAGTCATTCGCGTTTCGAGCTCGTTAAGGCTAGGTTTCTGTCCTCTTCAACTGGTATTTGTCGGAGAAAGTCTCTGTCTTGGAGCTTGAGAGCAGATCGTACGATGGCCAGCCAATCAACCCCGCCTCAATCTGTACATGATTTCACCGTTAAGGTATACCCTTTTCGTTAATTTGTTTTCTGGTTTGATTATATTCATGCCGTGTGGTTTATTGAGGATTTGGGGGGATCTGAACTTTGTTAGTCTCAGCTTCATATAGAAATTGTTTGCACAGGAAATTGTTTATATAGTAACATAGATTCTGGTTTGTGGATTGTTTGGTAAAGTACTACTTTTGGGCGTTATGATATTGCTTAATGGTGCTTGCACGCAATGGGTATTGCTATTATGTATTGAGATTTTCCTCTCAAGTATAATAATTTAGTATATATTCAGTCCTCGGAGTATCATCTACGGGACTATGACAGTTCCTGTAAAAGCTCCGATTTTGGGTCTGCTTAGGTGCGGTAAGTTCTGTTTTTTCGCGATGTTGGTCCTTAAGGAGTCGGATACTATAGTAATACATCGAACAGACTAAAGTTGTTGGATTGCACATATGAACTTAAGGTGAGTAGTGTTTGGCATTCTTCCCAACATAAAGCAAATATAATACGAATGATGCAATTTCATCAAATGACCATTAGAAAATGCATCATTTGTAGACACTCAGATGGTGTCTCGTGACTTTGTAGACTTAATTTAATATTAGTAAGACTCTTGTACATGGCATAATGCTGATTGCCGGAAGCTTCCGTCATGAATCGAGCTGATAGCAGAGAATGGTGTTTTTTTTTCCTTGTTTATGTTCAATATTGCATGCATACAATTAACGAGACTGAACATAAAGTTGTGCAGTCCATTCAGTTGCTCCTTTTCATTTTATAACATCATAACTGTTGGTAATTTCATTTTTAGTGAGAAATGTCTTGACAATGTCGACTGTTAAATGTGGTCTTTGTGTGAAGGATGCTAAGGGGAATGACGTTGATTTGAGCATATATAAGGGAAAAGTCCTTTTAATTGTCAATGTCGCATCACAGTGGTATGTGGATTTTTGTCTTAGCCCCTTCCTTTGGTGATCTAAGTTCTATGCTTAATTGAAGACTTTCTGAGTTAAAAGTCCTTAGGTGTGCCTTTTGAAATTCTTGAAGGGGAACTCATTTCTCATTCTGACAATTGCTTAGCTGTGTTTAGTGTTTTCTGCTAACATGGCATTGTCGTTATTGGCTGCATTTTAGTATCTTTAACTTGATGAGCCCGTCTCCTAATCCTGAAAAAATAATTATATTCTTCACGTTTGCCACAGTGGCTTGACAAATTCAAATTACACTGAGTTGACCAAGTTATACGAGAAGTACAAGGATCAAGGTTTGATCTGGTTTTACTATTTCTCAGTTTCTGTGGGTGCTTGGTGCCCTTTTCTTTGGAATCTCAATGTGATTGCGTTTGCTTAGGTTTGGAGATTTTGGCATTTCCATGCAACCAGTTTGGTTCAGAAGAGCCCGGCACGAATGAACAAATCCAGGAGTTTGCTTGCACTCGCTTCAAGGCCGAGTATCCCATATTTGATAAAGTAAAGCTTGTTGGATCTTTCTATTTCAATTGGATAAATGAAACTTAATTTTAGATGGAAGATTTGTTCTATTTGTCTTCAATCTGGAACGAATATGAGAATACATTCCATATTTGAAAAGTTTCCCTTGAATATGCTGATAAAGATTCAATTTTATCTCGACTCAGATTGAGGTAAACGGTTCAAATGCTGCTCCACTGTACAAATACCTGAAATCAGGCAAAGGTGGGCTTTTTGGAGACGGCATAAAATGGAACTTCTCAAAATTCCTTGTTGACCAAGAGGGCCGTGTTGTTGACCGATATGCCCCCACTACCTCCCCTCTCAGTATAGAGGTACGGAAAATACTTCGTAAATTCAAATACATATTATTTAATAGGACAATAGCTGAAAGATCTTGCTTCATTCTCTTGTCTTTGCAGAAGGACATAAAGAAACTCTTGGAGAAAGGTGCGAACAAATGAAGAGAAATCATTGAGCAAGAATAAATGCAGTGGGCATGACTTGATAATAACTATAATAATAATATTGCCTCTGAACGTACATTGAGCGAATATCGAACTTTCTATATTGGTATATGAATGCTTTTCAACCATATGTTTCAATTGTTACTGATCGGAAAGTTTATGAACGAATGCTATGGGAATATTGTTGCGGACCATGAAGTGTAGGAACGAATGCTATGGGAATATTGTTGCGTTTGGATATGAGAATTGATTTCAATCGGTTATGACTGATTGAGTTATTTGTTTCCAATCTTCTAACTCAAAATACAACGCAACTCAACTCTCTCTCCTCAATATGATCAATAACTCAAAAAACCAATCAATCGTTTTCATTATTTATCCACTCACATAATTTAACTACTCATCACTTTTAATAATTCTCTCTTACTCCTATATCAATTTTAATATTTAAATATTATTTAATTACAAACTCATAATCCTCACCTCAATCAATTTTATTTAAATAACTCATTTTAACAAATCAAATTCAAGAAAAAAACGATTAGATTCATATCCAATTACGCGCAGTGTACTGTTCATGTTTGGGACAAATATTTGTGTTTGGTTTTTAACCATACTTACGATTCAAGTACGTAGGTCTGTTCATGTTTGGGACGAATATTCATTTGTGTTTAGTTTTTAACCGTACTTACAATTCCAGTATGTAGGTCGTTTGTTGGTTGTCAAGAACAAAAAAAGTGATATAAAACAATATTTATAATTTGGTTTTATGTTAGTCTTACATGGTTAATGTTTGGATGTCTATTCATTTTGTGTTTAGGTTTTATTTGTACTTACAATTCAAGTGTGTAGGTTGTTTGTTGGTTCTCAAGAACAAAATAGTGATATCGCCCCTATTTATAGTTCTCGAATGCGCTGAGTTTGAGTGGCAAACTCGTGTTCTTCATAAGCTTATTTGCATAAATTTGTGCTTGGTATTGACACATATTTAGGTTTGGTTGTGACTACTAGGCTTGGAAATTACCATAAACAATTTTACTTTTCCTTTTTTCTTAACTTACCATATACTAATCTTACCTTTTTTATTTAACTCATATACTAATTATTATAAATATGTCATTATTTTTTAAAACTTTATAATTTTATATTTGTATTTTCTTTTTTTTTTTTATATATGATCTACCAAAATAATCATATTTTACGATCTTCAATTTGACATCCATAATGCACATATAAAATTAAAAAAATATTTATATTTATAAATAAAATTAATTTTATTATCAACTCAATTTAAAAAAACATCTTATAACAATATAAATTATTTTATAAAAATAATAAAAATCTAATCCATTAATACACCAGAAACAATTGTATGCACCTGTTTGTTTATATCTTACGGGGAAGAGTATTACTGTCCAATACATAAGCAGCTACTGTATCCACGTGCTTGTTTATATTGCACGGGGTAAGAGTGCGCAGGTATTAACCGAGGAGGTATTAACCGAGGTCTAGTTTGTTTACTCGATCAATATAAGACAAATTTATCCTCTCCAGGATTCGTTCAATACACATAGTGTCAAGACATATTGTACATTACAACGGTGGATTGTCCATTTCCATCTAGGTTGTTCATGATAGATTGTTTATTTCCATCAAGGTTGTGAACAGGCACATAGCCACATGGGGCCAAGGAGAAATGTAAAAAATATTTACACTATATTAAGAATTAAAAATTTATTTTCTATGCTATTTTAGTTTTTATTAATAGTATTTTTTATATATTGAAAAATGTACTAACAATCCTTATATTATACATTTCTAGATAAATTTTTAAAAATATTTATAATGTTGTACTCTTTTATTCTCTTAATTGTAAATAGATTTAGTAATTTATAAAACCGAGTATTTAGTTGGATAGTTATATTTTTTAATGTTGATTTTTTTTTTTTTTTTGTGTCATCACATATGTTTAACTTCATTGTATTTCTTAAAAAATGTTCAGTTGATAAGCTTTTCATCAGCAAATGCTATGCAATATGCTATAAAGTTCAATTTATATCTATTTTTCAACCAAAAAACTTATTTTTTTCACAAATTATAGTTGTTGAACTTAAATTATAAATGCATGAAATTTGATATATATTTTTTTTTTTATTTTTTTAAATGTTTAGGGGTGATATATATTTTATATTTTTAAAAAACTCAATGATGCACATTTCGATATTTATATTTATAATAAATATATTTTTATATGAAATGAGTGTTTCGACTTAAATTACAAGTTCGTTACTTAACATTTAAAACCGAGCACTCCTGAAAGAAATTTTTAGATCCGTCATTGATTGTAAACCTAATGATTTACAAGTAACCAATATATTTGATGAACGACAATATACCAATATAAAACATCAAAACATAAACTATTAATTGTTTACTAGTAACCGATATGTTCAATCAATTCATGATGAACACCATCAAATATCATAACGTACACTATTTAATTAAGGGTTAATTGTTTAATAAATCTTAACTTTTTTGTGTTTGGCAATTTTATCCAAATCTTTGGGTAATTGTAATATAATCTCGACCTCAATTTACTTATTGCAAATTTAGGTGTTGAGTGATTGATTTTAGGGATTTGTTGATCGATTTTGTGTCCAAGTCTTCCATTGACACGAGCTTTTATGCCATCCACGTAGCAAGTCGGCAATTTCTACGTATTTAATGTACATCCACGCACAAAGCGGAAAAATTCCACGTCAATGTAAGCTACCGGTGATGAGTCTCGTCCTAGATCTGGAATGAACCGGTAAATATGAGCTCCGATATGTTCGAACCGCCTTCAAATCGACCAATTTTTTGAAGATCCAACCGATTTTAGGTTCGACTTGCAATAAATAAATTGAGGTCAAGATTTTGTAATTACCCAAAGATTGAGATGAAATTGCCAAACACAAAAAGGTTAAAATTTATTTAGCAATTAATCCTTTAATTAAACAACATTATTCTCGTCCAAACACACTATTTAATTAAACGACATTATTCTCATCCAGACACACCAACAACACTATACACACTAACAATATCTACAATTACAAATATAGTTTTGACTGGGTGATACAATACCGTGTTGTATCACCTTTTTGTTGCATGTTCATGTCATGTTGTCATATGAAATGAACTTTGAGGTAACTTTTTATGAGAATTTTGAGATAACTTTTCATATAAAATAGATAATTGAATGACTATGATAAATTATGTATTAGAGTAAATCCAAATAATATACATTTATTATATATTTTTTATATATTGCAATTGTTATATCTATATTTATAACACAAACAGAATTTCTTTGTTTACACGAATCAAATGACCAAGATCCAACCGTCAAGGATATGAAGTGTGTATAACTAAATATTTCACCAGAATGTAGGAATGTTGGAGTAAATAAGTAACAAACATTCTAATAAAATCGTTTTTTTTTTTAAATATAAATGTCGTTGTATCCAATTATATTTATCAATCTCATAATTATAATTACTTATTTAAATAATATTGACGTTAAAATTAATTTAAAATAATTTAAATAAAAGTGAAATATTTTATATCAAGTCAAATTTAGCATAAAATACAAAAGTTGATTTTGGTATTTTTCTACTCCAAATATAGTAAATAACTATAATAATGGTTTGTGATGAATATTGGTTTTTGCTCGATTGTGGGTGCCGAATTGTGGGGGCTGTTCCAGGGTTCGAAGTTGACGTGGGATATTGGAACTCGTAACATCACAGTGGAGGTAGATAATAAAAGTGTTGTTGCGCTGGTACATCAGGAGGACACTAACGGGCCGCATGGGAGCATTTTAAAGGGGATTAAGGAGTTGATGGGTCGCTCATGGCATGTGACGGTTGCTCATGGCTATCGTGAAATTAATTTTGTGGCAGACTATTTGGCGTCTTTGGCGGCTAAAGGACCGGGTGGTTTGCATATTCTGGAGCGTCCTCCTCCGGGACATAGTCGTGATATAGGCTTTGCCTCCTTTCTTTAGCTCTCCGAAAACACGAATTCAAACAAATGGCGTCGCCTCAGTCTGTATTCGATTTCAATGTCAAGGTCAGCCCACAATTCCTTGTCTACATGGGTTTTTCAAGAAACCTTTTTCTTTCTGATTTTTCGCTGTTTTTTTTTTTTTTCAGAAATTTGAATTCTTACAACTAAAATTGCCAATTAAAATGTGAATGAAATCGATGGAGAGCTTCAGATTACAATTGGGGTTTCTTTTTTTTTTTTCTTTTTTTTTTTAATTCAGGATGCTAATGGAGGTGATGTGGAGCTAAGCACTTACAGAGGCAAAGTGTTGTTGATAGTCAATGTTGCTTCAAAATGGTAAATATGTTCTTCGTGTAGTTTTCACTCTTTTTTCTGTGCAAAATGCTCTGTCCTCTGATTAGCTTTGTGATGATGATGAAAACTTGTTACAGACACGAAGTATTTGTCGTACGAATGGAATCGAATACGATTAATGATATATATATGTATTATCTTCTATGTTGTGTGTAGTTGCAAAGAACATAGTTGAACTCCTATTCTAGCATCATTATTGTAGTGTTTGTCAGTGTTTGGAGCCGAAGTTGAATTTGGTTTTGCAGCTAGTGTTTAGGTCGAATCCACCGTATTTTGTGTATGTGTACTGGATGTTACTTTTTCGAATCTTTAGAAAAAAAATCTAGTGAGTTTGTTTTTGTTCATGTTCTTTGGTTCGCTACTGCAGTGGGATGACAAATTCAAACTATACCGAGCTAAATAAGCTGTATGAAAAGTACAGAGACCAAGGTATGTTTTTCGGACTTACGCCACTCTTACTATTTCAATCCGAGTGTGAGACGAAAGATAACTCCTTTAATTCTCTTTATATTTTCGTTTCTAGTCATTTGAAGTTGGGAAGGAAAGAGTAAAAAAAAAATATAGATGTAATTAACTAGTAGTGGTCGATCGATCAATCGCATTCTTGGTTTATTTACTTTTTTTCCTTTTCCTCTTAAAATTTATGAGAATTCGTTTGCTGGTCTATTTTCGGCGCAGGCCTCGAGATTTTAGCTTTCCCATGCAACCAGTTTGGTGAAGAAGAACCTGGAAGCAATGATCAAATTCTCGACTTTGTTTGCACTCGATTCAAGTCGGATTTCCCCATCTTTGCTAAGGTGAAAATCCAATCACCACCCGGAAAAGTCCCATAAAGAAAAACTTAAGAAATGAAAAGGTAATTCAAAAAATTATGCAGTCAATCCCATCGATTTTGAAATGTTTGGTGTTGGCTTTAGATTGAGGTGAATGATGAAAATGCTGCTCCACTGTACAAGTTCTTAAAATCGGGCAAATGGGGAATCTTTGGGGACGATATCCAGTGGAATTTTGCAAAGTTTTTGGTAGATAAGAATGGGCAGCCTGTTGATCGTTATTACCCTACGACCTCACCTCTCACGATCGAGGTACATTACATAACCTATTACAATCCATTTCGTGTATATATATAAAATAATTTGCTTTTACTCGGTTCATAACAGAACAAAAGGCATGCGTATTGATTGGTCATTCTGAATGCTCTGATTGCAGAGGGATATCGTAAAGCTATCGAAAAAACGTGTTTTTTCCATAACCATTGCAACCTCGGGTCCTATTGATGCTCGACTGGTCGGTTATCTTGCATGATATTTTAAATGGCTAGCAGATCGAGACTTCTTGTAATTATAATTGTGTTGGATTTCTTGTAATAATTTTGAACTCAGTTCCCCTAATTTTCAATTCTAGTTATGAAGAATTTCTACCCTCTGTCTAAAATTTTTCAAGTTAACAATATATGGTCAAGCTATGCACAACTAGTGTTTCCAACTGAAAATGAATAAATCCCACAATTTTTTTTTTACCAATACAATCCATTAATACAACATCACTTACACCTATTAGAAATTTAGAACAATACATCCTTGCTTAAACTTCAACCGACTATATCAAACTCTACTACTTTCTCCTACTTTCTTAAGATCCTACAGACTGAATTTCGTTACAAGAATACGTTAGCACAACTTGAACACTCGAACATTTTCTCATTTTCCATCATATATACAGAGAATTCATAATAGCACATTTTATCATCATAAATCATCCGCGAGTCAGGTCAATATCCTCTTGTGATCTCTTTATGTCTTGTCGTGAACTTAGCTGCCAAGCACTCGGCCCCACATTAGGGTTTTGGTTAGAGGCGGCAGCACTATACGGGGTGTACGCCTCTTCAGAAGATTGTTCTAGAAGGTTCCTTTCGTTCGTTATTTGGGACTCGGGTTTGGTCTTTGCCTTTGTAGCATCGTACACAAAACTGCACCCAACCACCTGCACAAAAAAAAAAAAAGGGTAAATGCACGTTGCACATAAACCAAAATTTTCTCTTACTAAAGGTGAACTCATTTTTGTCGAGTGCAAAACCTGCACATTATTAGCTGCAATAAGTCGGCCGCCTATTGAACCCCCAAGCATATGGCCATCAGGATTACACACAGATATGCTAATACCACCAGTTCGGGTGTGGGGCCCACCATTCTCAGCTACCAAATAAGAACCAGACAGGCATAGAATCTCAAATCGACC